GGATCCAGTGGGGGGCACGGTGGAGCGCTATGTACGGCGGCGATCTGGGGCAGTGGCGAGCAACGCCTAACGCTGGCGGCGACACGAACAAACGCTTGTCGGCCGGAGAACCATCGAGCTCGGAGCACAGACAGACGGCGACATCGATCGGGGAGACTTGCGGCGGCCATTGGGACCATGCTGGCGGCGGCGGCGGCGGCGCATCTCGTAACTCTAGAGAGGGACGGGGGATCAAGAGCGAGCGAGACGGGATTTTGGAATTAGGCATCGACGAGATTAATATATGGCTTCTAAATATCATGACAGAGACGGGGATAGAGATAATTGAGAGAGAGAGAGGCGTCCCCAGCAGCTAGCTCAACTGACGTCGAACCTTGTCGTTGCTTGTCGATGCCTCAAACACCTGCAACATGTAGCAGAAAAAACAAAGAAGGAAGCGCAGCAGCAGCTCCTCCGATATAAGCATTGGCTGCCGTCACCAAAGGGGAGGGTGGGATGCAACAAAGCATGGATAAATTAACACATAAAAGCTACCAAAAAATTGAGCTCAAACAGTAGCAAGTTGATGACCACGGGAGCCACAAACAGTACCCATTTTTTCCATCCTTCAGTAGCAACTCCCTAAATTCAAGATTGAACAATTCAACTAACAAATGTAGTTCAGTCAGGCATCAATTCAACTAACAAATTCATGGTTAACCTTGCTGTTCAATTCAAGGAACAATCAACACTTTAACAGTATCAACAAAAGTGACCTCAAACAGCAGCCAATTGAGCCCAAACGCCTCAATGGCCACGAACAAGAGCAGAGAGAGGAGGGGGCGAACTCACTTGAAAGACAGAAAGGAGGACGGTCCATGGTGGTGCGTCCCGGGCTGCAGCAAGGCAAGGTCGACCCCTCCTTCCTCAAGCATCCAATCCTTACCCTGCACATCTACCATGGAGGATCAAACCAGATATTAGAGAGAGAAAAGGGGGAGATAGGGGAGGGGATGAACTCACCGTCTCACCCCATGGCCACCTGGTTGCGGAGAAACATCTTGGAGACGGAGCAGCGTGTGGGGGCGCGGTGGGCGTCGGAGAAGAGCTGCCGGAGCCACGCCAGTGTGGAGGCGCCCGAAATCCTCGCCATGGTGAGGCCTTAAGGTCACCACTGGTGGCCGTGAGTGGCGAATCCCGCTGGGGAAAAGACCTAGCGGAGCGAGGCGAGCTCGAGCCGGTGCTACTCGAGCACGCGCCCACGACGTTCGCCTTCTCCTCCGCCGCGGTTGTAGGTCCGATGAAAAGGGCGCCGCCCCTCAACTGCTCGTGCTCCGCCGTCGCTGCCGTCGCTGGAAAGGCCAGTTTGGATAAGATGAATGAGAGGGACGCGGACTGAATATCTTACAAACGTAGGGGTCTTTTTGTAAAAACGAAGCGTTTTTTCAGAATTCACTTTAAAAAGGACTGCGGGTTGAATATCTAAAAACACAAGGGCGTTTTTGCAAAAACCCTGACGACGTACGACCAGACGCACTAATCGCTTTATTAGTAGGGAAAGATTAAGTAGGTAAAGATATACAATGAGTCCTCTGTTTCATGAACGGTGGACTTGTGGAGTTGTAGTCGGTTCCGAGACTTGACTCGCAACCGTTCTCTTTCAAAGAAGAAAAAATAAAATAAAATGCAGTCCCATGATTAGAACCCAAGCAATCAAAGATAAGTCATTGCCCTTCTGCCAACCGTGCTAGGCCAGCTTCTACGTAAATAATAAGAAAGACACGGTAATTGCCTTTGGCTCCTAGGTGCATATGCACCCATTGTCGAAATCCAAATTCTGAGAAGTTAAAAAATTCGAAACAAAAATCCCGCGTGTATATCCGGATATTTTATGTGCGTTCACAAGGTTTCAGTGAAAAACGACGTTTTTTGTGGCTTGTGTAAAAAAGATAAAGAAATGCCTCGTGAATAGTTAGAATGAAGCATCAGAAATTGTCTTTTTTACACAAGCCACAAAAAACGTCGTTTTTCACCGAAACCTTGTGAACGCACATAAAATGTCCGGATATACACGCGGGATTTTTGTTTCGAATTTTTCAACTTCTAGGAATTTGGATTTCGACAATGGGTGCATATGCACCTAGGAGCCAAAACG